TGCAGATAGTTTAATGGCCTCTCAAATGTCTCCTGATTTTGGTAAACGGAGCCCTTAACCATTTGCCTACGACGGTCCATTGGGTGGCAGTGAACAGAACAGAGAGAACTTCTGTGAGGAGGCCAGCCTGTGAGGAAACACTTATTTCTGCCTTGATTGTATACTGCCAGATAACAGTATAGTGCATACTGTGAGAGATTGGTATATTCTGTACTATGATCAGGACAGCACAGAGAGGAGGTTGAGGTTCACTCACAAAAGTCACATCATCTTCATTAATTTGCCTTTTTCCCCTCTTCTTTATGGCGTGGCTGTCAATTTAGGGAGTGATGGGCACCAACATCACCATCAAGGGGCTGTGTGGTTTGATGGGTGACACCTCACTGGGGGAGCCTTATAACCGCTATGCTGCAGTGGCCCGCCTCATGATGGAAACATTTTCTCTGAAATGCCTGGATGCCAGCTTCAATAACTACGTCAGAGACATGACTAATACGTCCTGGGATGGGCCGGCTGCAGGTGGAGGTGGGTATAGTCCAACTGAAATTTCCCACTGTTGTCAAAAAATATTACAGGAGTCAAATGCAGTGGACCCCAGAACCACCATTTCCTCCATCATCAGTAGCGTCAGGAGACCAGAATATAACACAGCCACAAGACAGGTTATGTGTTGGGATGTGGTTTTAGTCACAACGTAGCAAACCCATTTTTGGGTGTTGTCGAAAAGCTTTTTTAGGAGAAGTTAAATTCTGGCAAAGTAGTACACCAAAAAATGTCATTACATTACTTAACGTCTAAATAAGTCCTGGAATGATGTAAACATGTGTTTCACTGGAAATTTGACTGAGGAAAGGAGACTATTCTAAGACCAGGTATGCTATTTTTTGAATGTTGTCTCTTGATGGGGCACTCAGGATTGAGTAACAAGTCCGCATGTTTTACCAAAAATGGGTTCTCTATATTCCATGTTATACCTTTGCCCTGGGCTGTGGTTTCAGTTTAATGAGTAGGGGGGCGGGGGGTTACTGGAACAGGAAGTGGTCTCTTAAAAAACCCACTCGGATGTGTCTGCTTAGACTCTCTCAACTGCCCCCTTGTCATGTGGGTTTCAGTTGCACTCTTTCCTCTCCTAATTGAGGCTGAATAACTGGAAGTGAATACTTTTTGAGAAGAAAGCCACTTGAAACGAATCGTTCGCTTTACCTTCCCTGTGTCATTAGTGCCTTGATTTATATGAATATGTTGGCCATGGGTACATTTTGTGTATGCGTGTGTGTTGTCAGGGCGACAGTGGGTCTACCAGACCTGCACTGAATTTGGATTCTACCAGAGCACTGATTCCCCCAACCAACCATTCACTGGCTTCCCTCTTGTGTGAGTACAATAAACATTGCCTCTCTGCCTCATAAACTCATAGTTATATTTTACCCTTCATCTGCTCCCCCATGACCTACTCTTATTCCCACTGCACAAGCTGGCCATTTTCTTTCTTTGCTTCCAGTTTCATTACACGTTACATTGTTAATCTGTGTTTTCTCATTTAGGTATCATGTAAAACAGTGTGCAGACTTCTACAATGTCAGTTCTGGGCAGCTGGCGGAAGCTGTGGCCCAGACCAATGAGTACTACGCCGGCTATGACATCCGCTCCACCAGGATAGTTTTTCCGAACGGGGCCATTGACCCCTGGCACGCCTTGGGAATCACCAAGGATATCACACCTGATCTTCCTGCTGTTTTCATCAAAGGTAACAATAGATAAAATCCCACTGACGTACAAGCACTGTGACTTTGTCTTAACAGCTCAGAAAAGATTGATGTTATACCGTCTTCTAGAAACAAGAATTTTTATATCGAGAAACATATATTAGTATTCAATCTGATTTTAAAAAAAAAAACACAATAACAAAAAAACAGCCCAGTCCATATTCAGCAATTTTACCACATTGACATCTTTGCTGCTATCCAACTTGCTAGCTTAGATAGCAAAGTAACTAGCAACAACTACTTAGGTGGATGGATGGATGGCTTGTTAGCAAATGTTTAAGGTACTAACTGGAAGGATAAATGTGCCCATCTCATTTATTCCCATAACTGTGTATTTGGTAATTTGCTGATCAAAATCCATCCAGGTAAAATCTGGACTGAGTTTGAATAAAAAATATAAGGTTTTTAGACATCAATGTTACATATAAACATTGTTTCAAAAGCATTTTGAATTTGTAGCTATGTGTTAACTATGTGTTGAAATGGAGTCAAACTTTGTTCACAGGACAGTATGATTTTAAAAATATCAAATGGCACGAAGTACAAAACTCAAGCCAAAATCATACATAAAAGACATCTGATTACAATGAGTCCAGTAGTTTTTTCTTGTTTATGTACAGGAGTTAAAGTCCTCAATGTCGACCTAACTTTTGACCATAGTTCATCATTAAGCCTAGAAGGAACTGATTGAATTAGTGTATTTCCGCATCTAATTGCTGAGTCACACAAGTGAAATGAATTTTTTAGTGGTTGCTTTACATTACAGAAGGCAAGCAGCAGTTTCAGAGTAAAACAATGGCTTACTTGTCTAACTCTGTCTTTATTAGGTGGATGATTGTTCTTGTAAATCAGAAATTCTCAGTTTTACTGTTTTTTGCTGCCATATCCTTAATATTTATATTGTTTCTCTGATCCAGGAACAGCCCACTGTGCCAACATGTACCCTGCCAGGAGCGAGGATCTCCCCCAGCTGGTTCTGGCCCGTGACCACATCTATTTACTTCTCCAGCAGTGGTTAAAGCAATGACTGACAGCCAAACAGGCCAATCGATAGCTTTGCAAAGCAAACTAATTACTCTTTTGACTAGATCCTTGATATTGGTGTGACACTGCTTATTTTACTACCACATTTAGGACTGCTTGAATAGGCACTTTACACAAGGATCGGTAGGTACAAAGGTCAGGGATTTGAAATGAGTGAAACAGTTTTGAGTTGATGAATAAATATGTTTGGTTTTTTTAAGACTGTAGAAGCTATTTTCTCATTTTTAGTTTTGTTCTGAGGTACCATTGCAAAAGTGAATAATTACATCCACTTCACCAGCTGGTTTCTGGGCAGGGTATACATCAAACCAGGAATAGTAGTCTCGGATATGGTTTAGAATAGTCCTAGTAATTATGTCGTGTACATCAATGTCTGTCAATGGATTCTTATTGATTATTTGAACTAGTTAACTGAAGACCAACAAGTAGCATCATCTAGAAATACTTATCTACAGGAGCAACACACACAATCTTTTCTCCTTTTCCGAGAAGAAAAAAAGATCTAATCTCAGGCACACCAAAAGTCAGTATGTGAAACTTAATTTTTTCCACCATAACATTTGCTTTAGGATACAATATGCAATGTCACTGCCTTTTGTTGCATGATGTTGACCAATCTTATCTGCTCTTACATTTCATATTGAGAAACTCAACATTTTGAAATTTCAGGAGTTTTCAGTGAGCTCATGAGAATCATGAATGCACACATTACCCTTTCACTGTAGCATTTGATGGTTCGTTAACACACTGAAAATCATGTTTGAACAGGTAGTAATGAAACAAAGACCAAGATGAACATGAACCAGAAATGGTTCATATGTTTGCATGGGATACTTGTTGCACAAAACATGTGCACATCTGGTCTTGTTCAGCACAGGCTTAGTCTTGTTTGATGATAAGAAGGTAACTATAATGCTGTCTTAGCTAAAGAAGCATGATGATATCTCCAGAGGGAGCACATTGGGTACACAAACAACTTCTGGGAACTGTGTAATTTGGACTACATATTGCATGTTCCCATCTTTTGTCTTGAAGTAGATGGATTTAGTTTAAAAGCAGAATCTGCGAGAGAAAAATAAATGGCCTTGAATGGCATGATTATAGTACGCAGCTGTATGCTCATTCACTACCTCCTCAAAACTGAGACAAAATGACCCACTTCGATCAACAGTGTTTATTTTCACAACAGTCACATCTCTGTATTTCAGCTGGACATGCAAGACCCCCACTCCAAGCACAAACCACACACTCACAAAGACTGCAGAGCAAAGTGGATTCTTAAAGCCTCCACCTGGGTGTTCAGTCAAACACTGTGTGAAACTAATCTATTGTAGCAGAGGTTGCAAAATACATGTGAAATATGTTGACAGCCCACAATTTCTTTTTTAAAGGTAAACATTTACGCTAGATTTAGACAGAATTGTCTACACACTCATTTAATCCCCTGTAATTCAAAACTTTTACACCTACTCATAATCCTCTCTTTGGCTGCAGCATGGATGTAATTCATCCTCAGCCTATTTTCCTGTGTGTGTGTGTCTCGACTCGCCACCCAACTTTATCCGGTTTTTATCACCTAAATGCAAATATAAAATCATATCACATTTGGATAGACCAAACTCTTAAAATATGGCATATGAGACCCATTTATTTAGCGAACCGACCAGTTAATATTTTGTTAATCATTGCTCTGTTCAGCAAATACTTTGTAGTTACGTTAAAGGAAAACAAGACAAAACATTTTACTTTCTAATCTGAGAATGCTTTGTAATGGTACGTGAATGCACCAAGGTGAATTGGGGGCCTCGGTTACTTTCCATTAAATATTACGAAACTTAACAAAGATGACTGTTCTTACATGTTTTTAAACATTTCCCCCATCTTTCTCACTTCCTGCTGTAAACACCTTTATAAATTCTTAGCTGAGTCAAGTTAGCCAAAATCGTACCGGATATAACGTTAGCTAAACATGAACGTTTTGCCTCGCTGGAAAATATGAGCTATAACTACGCAAACAAAATGGTAATATAAACTGAAAGCACGAGCGTTTTATTACAAAGGGTGTGGGACTGTATTTCGGTGTTTCTGGACAACAATATAGTAATTCATTGGTTTTTATTTTGGCAGTCTTAGACCGGAGGCGGTTTGTTATTTTGAGTTTGAGACTAACGGAGATACTCGCTTCATGCTCGGCTGTGGGGGTGGAAGGCGGAGTTCAGACCAATAAAGTCCTCTCTGAGACAACGGTGGAGTCAGAAGTTGTTCTCACTTTAACAGGAATAAAGAGTGTATTGTCATTTACACTGCGGACCAACCCCTGGAAACTCGTTTGGACGCCGGTGAAAAGCGGACTAACAAGTGAGCAGTTTCACCTGCGGGACAAGTCACCTCGCGATAGGTAACGCTAATGTCGTATTTTTTTTAACGTTACTTTTACAGAAGACTCAAGAAATGTCGCTTTTCTGAAGAGAGCCAGACGTCATTAACTGCTACAACATTTACTTTGTAGTCAGCTTTCTAGCACAAGAAGTAGCTTCTACCCATTTTAATACAATTTGTCCAACGTATAACGTTAGCTGATATTAAAGACTTGTTTGACAGTTTCAATTGGCTATAAAAGAAAGAACGTAAACGTACGACAGGAAACTTTAAGTTTAAGGTGTGATAGCGTGATTTACGTTAAGTTACAATAGTTACACCAATAAAAGTGCGCTTCACATCCAGCGTTGAGCTGCCTTCGTGTTCACTACTCCCTGCTGGAAGAAGTGCAGTTTTAATGTGTGAAAAGCATGGTGAATGGGTTTCTGTCATTTCTGTGGCAGCTTCATTCCGAGACATTTGACAGGCTGAACTTTTTCTTTACAGCTTGTTTAGCAAAATAACCTATCCAGAAGTCCCAAATTCTCGGCATATTGTACATGCACATGTTTACATCCATATATTTTTAACACCATGTCAGTTTTTATCATTGGACGAGCCAAATGTACAGTTGTAAACTAATGATGCTTGGTCGGGCCTATTATGCCAAACTCTACCATTATTCGTACACGGATTAAGTCACCATGTCAAAAGTCCATTCAGTTGCCAGAAATCTGTCAGTGTAGTGGGGTTTGCCATTTAAAACAAACTGCGTCAGGATTTCACTGCGTTTTCCAGAGATTGTGAGAACGAGCTCTGAGATTTAAAACTGCTAATCTATTCGGCGAATCAACCACGCTACAGCTAATAATCAAAACTTTTGCACAGTTTACACAATAAACCCCGTACATGTAATATCCCTCCTAAGCAAACGCGCCCGCAGACAGTCTGGCTGGGTCTTGTGGCTACATTCATCTGCTTCAGTGAGTAGGGTGCTGGCTGAATCCTTTTCCTAAAATGGTCTGAAAGATTTAATTTAGTCTAAAATAAAAAAAATAAAAAAGGTCCCAGTTTCACTAGGCTGATTATGGTTAGACTGATATTTAGACCATAAGAGTTAGTCAGACCCTGCAGCACTGGATCAAGGGTTTGGTTGCCTAAGGACAAGCAAAGGTGCACATAATGATTGTGGTTAACCCTCATGAGTCATGGATAAACATCCAGCTCTTGAAAGTGTTTTTAAGGAATGACTATGGTTGTACATTGATGTTTTCATAAATGTGTAGTTTTTCAGATGGTAGATAATATTGATGATGCTCAGCTTTAACAATTCATGCTACCAATACTAACCGTGTCTACTGGAGAACAAATTAACAGATGAGACTGCCATGGTTCTTACAACATGCCTCTAATATTCTGTTCTTTGTTTCTTACTAGGTGCTGTAGACTGTAAAATGAAGCACCTCTCATTATTGTGCATGTATGCACTGGTGACCTTGTATGGCAATAAGGGCGTGCTGTCCCGGGCTCCCTCCTACGGTGAACGGGGCTCTGATCTTGGCATACAGGTATTTCAGCAAGTAGTCCGCTCCAAGCCCCTGGAAAACGTGGTGCTTTCACCCCACGGGGTAGCTTCCATCCTTGGGATGTTGCTACCAGGAGCCCATGGAGAGACTCGGAAGCAGGTCTTGAACGCTCTTCGTTACAAGAGAAGTGGTATGAACTCTTTCTGGCAGTAAACGTTAAGGCTAGTTCTTGCTGAAGTTGTCTGTAGTCACTGCAGCCAGACGAGCCTTCATATTTTGGTTGACATTTAGACCCTGAGAAATAATTCAAAGTCCACTTGGTCTTCACAGGTCCGTACAAAATGTTGAAGAAGCTGCACAAGACCTTGATTGCTAAATCCAACAAGGACATTGTGCTGATAAGCAACGGCATGTTCACCCAGGAGGGCTTCCCCATGAAGGAGGCCTTTGTAGACACCAACAAAGTCAACTTCCAATGTGAGAGCAGGACCCTGAACTTCAACAACTCCCGTGGGGCAGCAGATGAAATCAATGAATGGATCAAGAATAAGACCAAAGGTAGGAGACATTTGATATATACTCAAAGTTATCTCGTAAAGGCAGGTTTAAGCATGTATTTTGAGACAGTTAAGACATCTGTTACAAAAACCCTTATAGTTTCAGTCAGTTATTATGAAAGTATGTAGAGAGAAGAGAGATGAAACTAAGAGAGATTTTATAAGTTGTAAATTAAGTAAGTGCAAAATGATTTACTTAGAATGATAAGATGCAGATTTAACAGCTCTTCTTGTCAACCTGTTTAAGCCTTACTCAGCTTCCCATTTGCCCTGCATGTCTGTGCTGTCATGTTCTAACACAACAAAGGCAAACGCATATTAAAACTATGACTTTTTCACAGACCACAGGAAGCCTCGACTTTGTAAGCGGTTCGCTTTCTGCTGCATAGATTTGTGCGCCCTTATGTAATGTGGATATTATTAGTTCCTCACCTGTTCTGAAATGAAAATGAGAAAAAAGGTGTTTTTTCTGAAACTGTTGCATATTTGTTCAGGTCACATCCCCAGCTTGATCAAAGCAGACATGCTGGACTCAGGTCTGACCCGTCTAGTCGCTGTCAACTCAATCTACTTCAAAGGCTCATGGAAGTCTCGCTTCCAGGCTGAGAACACCAAGATGAGGCCCTTCAACTCGGGCAATGGAAAGATTTATAAAGTTCCAATGATGTCCCAACTGTCGGTCTTCAACATGGGTGAGTGGTGGTGGTGTGTGTGTGGGGGGGGGGGGGCTTCCATTGATGGCCTGCTGTGTGAGACTAACCCTTTTTGAGTATGTTTTTCTTAGCGCAGTGATTCAATATTAATGATTTTGCTTTGGTGTCATTAATTTGCTAACATACAGGCAATATTTTAGAGGTATTGGGATACTGATTACCATGTTGTTTATTACATTTCACCACCTAATGACATTTAAGGATATGCTGTGCCATAATAAGAATGCTCTGCTGTATGTTTTTGTTATACTGTATAGTTTTGGGTTCAGACTGGTTGAAATTAATTGACCCAGATAAGAAGGTTATCATTTTTCTTTTTCAGTAGTAAGAGCCAGTTAAGACAAGTCAAATAAAATTATACTTCTCCCACATGATAAATACAAATATTTGATTATCTGTGTTTGGAAATCTAGGAGTGGAATTCTATAATAGGGGCCATCATTGTCTTAACCATGAATTAACAGGAATTGTTCTTTTTTTATTTTGTTTTGTTGACATGCTGGATATATTGGTCATATTGTTGTTGTATGTTTAGTCATACAGTATTGGAGATTGGTTAGATACTGGACTTAAAGTTGTGTTGAATGAGTGCCAGACAGTAACTCAAAGTTAAACCTGTGGAGTTTTCCTGGGAGTAGTATTTCTGTTTACATTCAGTGTTTTTCACCAAAATGCGTTGTGTGTGTATCCTTTAGGTATAGCAAATGCATTAAATGCATCCCCTTCCTTATAAAACATGTGCAAAGTCGATTTCTTTAAATATGTCTAATACTAATGTATTGGTTACATGGCAAAACGTTTGACAACCAAAGCTTTGACTCAACATTAAGTGACTTTTCTGGACTGTCTTGACATGGTTTAACTTTTACCAAATCAAGTTCGGACAAATGGCAATAAATAAGCCTATCAGCAGCTGCTGTTCCACTCAGGTCTGCCAGCTTGATAAACTGCAGCTTCAGTGATTAAGTTGTTTTAGTTTGTTTTTATAATGCAATCCCAGCCAGTTTGTGATTCATACATCAGTTTGTGTTGAGTTGTAAAGGAATGCAGGCTTAGCCATGCCACATCCGTAGGACATTATTTAGTCCTGTGTGAAATGAAATGACACACAGTCAGTCATCTATATTTAGATGAGCTGTCAGACTTGTGTTAGCATGGTGAGTGCCCTGGATAGAGTGCTAGAGTTAAACTAGGGTCATGTTCTGCTGTGAACCACAGACGTTTGTGTCTCTCGTAGTGTGCTGACTTTAGTGTGCATAGACTATGACTTCTTGATTGGATCATTGTCCCCAAATTACCACACTTCATAAAGAGAACAGCACTAAATCCACTGGCTATAGCTTGATACTAATACTGTTTTATGAATATAATGGGATTTACAAATACTTGGCTTTATGACTTCAGAACATAATGAGCAGTGCTATGATTAGTTTAATGGGTTTATAAAGCATTTACAACTGTAGGCGCAGCTGAATGGATGCTTGTGGTTTGAGACAGATGTTGAACTGTCACTTATTTTGCAGTTACATGCCTTACAAGATGGAAATGTGTTGTTTTTGTAAAGTTAAAGGAACTGCCATCTTAACCTTGCAGGTATATTAACAACAGCAGTCAAACTGGATCCCTGTGTAAATAAAAAGTCAGTCTTTATCGCTGTTTTGCTACTGCCCCTTCCTCAATGATAGAACATAACTTTGTTTCAACTAACAACCTGTTCAAGCGTTTCAAATTTACTTCAATAAACATTTGCTGTCTGGCAGGTCTTTTCAAAGGGAGAATCTGCTAGTCGTCAGGAAATGATGCATTTTTCCTTTCTAGTGTTTTTAGACTAAATAAAAATATTGAGCAACTAGCCATCGTGGGCTGAGAAACAAACTGTCACCCACAGAAAAAACAAAGTTCTTCCACAGATAAACCTGGCAACATGAATCCTCCAGATTCATTCTTACCATCACCCTGACTTTGAAACTATTAACCCTAACCTCCTCTTCTGCCAGGCATTGCCACCACACCCCAGGGACTGAAATACAAGGTGATTGAGTTGCCCTACCACGGCAACACGATCAGCATGCTGATTGTTCTGCCCATTGAAGAGGACACGCCTCTGTCCCGTGTTATCCCACACATCAGCACAGCCACGGTGCAGAACTGGGCCAAACTGATGCACATGAGAAAAGTCCGCCTGCTCATCCCCAAGTAAGACCCACACATACAGCAGTTGCTTTTAAAAGTTATCTGAATGTGACTGTAACCTTGTGTGCATGTGTGTGTTTATGTCTGTAGGTTTACTGCTGATGAAGAGGTAGATTTGAAAGCCCCCCTTACAGCACTGGGAATAACAAACATGTTCAGTCAGGGCAAAGCCGACTTCAGACACCTCAGTGAGTGAAAGCACAGCCAGTGCAAACCCTGAAATGACGCAGTGCCTGCGAGTATTTACAACAGGTTTATTTGGATACAAGAAATAAAAGCATTGTTGGCTGTTTACTGCCAGAGCCAGGAAGAAGTATGAACTACGTCTAGCTGGCCAGTGTGAAAAACTGAATCACTCGTGTTCGTTCTTTCCCTCATCTTCTCCCAGAGTGATGGAATGAATGGAGCTCTAATTGAAGTGCTCTAGTGCCATCATGTGGTGTAATCTACAAAGGAGTTTGTAGGATTACTCCAGCGGGGAATAAAAATCAACCAGGGTCTGTCTGACACCTGTGGATTTTTGCTATAGTGACATCATGTGGTGTAATGTAGCAATCGGTTAACACATTTTTTTTTTTTTTTTATATATATATATTTAAACTCACCACTCAAATTTTGAGTAGAGCTCATCAGAAGCTGTTTTAGCTGTTTGTATCTTTGAAAATTAGTGACATGGCCACACTAACTATCGCAACTATCCCCCGGTGTTTATAGCACAAGAGACCTCATTTAGCTGACGCTTTTATCCAAAGCGACTTACAATTGCTGTTGCTATATAGGACGGAGGTCGCACGCCTCTGGAGCAACTAGGTGTTAAGTGTCTTGCTCAGGGACACATTGGTGTCTCACAGTGTATTTGAACCCGGGTCTCTCACATCAAAGCCATGTGTATTATACACTGCCCCATCACCACCCCCATTTTGTCATTATTTATGACATATGAGGTCCAGTTGCAGTCTGGAATAATAATGCCCATAATCAGGTATTTCTTTGTGACACAAGAGAAGATAAATACACGCACAAGGTTCAGTAAAGTGCTACATGACCGGCTGTCATTCACTTGAATTTGATGTGGGTCATTAAAACTGTCCGAGTTACCTTTCAGTCCTTACAACTTTACGATTACACATCGTTGTTCAGAACAATTCAGTGTCATCGAGGAAACAATGTATGTAATGTATTTCCTTCCTTTGTCTGGACCAAATTAACCGAACTACAGGTGTAAAGAACCTGAAGGAAGCAATCGCCACCACAGGATTCTAAAATTCTCTATTGTAAGCCAGTTTGCTTTGTCGTTTGCATACCTGTGTGCAGTGCGTTAAACACTGTATATCTTGCGTGGGTCTCATCACAGAAGCCCTCTGACATGTCTCAGTAGGAAGAGCACAGCTGTAAATAATTAAAATGAATGATGGCTGAATTTAATCTGGTGACGTGGTCTCAGGGTCCTGTTATTGTTCATGCTGACTCACCGTCTCACACTCTCATGACTCGCCTGAGCTTTTCCTACTGCGACAAATCAAAATGTCTGCTGTGAAAAAGGCTTGTTACAATTCAGGCGCTTAAAGTGTTATGGCTGAGTGGACCTCAGCTTATACATAACAGTCCTCAAACTCAAAGTATCAAAAAGAATAAAATGAAGATTTAGCAGATGCCACAACATCTGTGATGGCGCAGTTAGACGGACATCTGCCAGGGACAATTTACTAGCATGGTGTGGCCATAAGCGGGGGGTCAGGAAATGGTGTGGGTAGGGTTGTAAACATTACCTGCAGGAACAGCATGGCTAGAATGCTAACAGAAGTCCACAACTTAGTAATTAATATTTTATCAAATAATTTAAGTCATTCACCTGTCAGTGTCAGAATGCAGTCTTCTCTGTTGTAAAATAAGAATATAAAAAGAAAAGATACTCCCTGAATGTGAGGTCAATCCCACCCTCTCACTCGAACCCGCTGGACATTTCAAGTTGCGTCCGGGATATGTCTTGCCCTGTTCCACGTAGAACCAAAACTCACCACACACACACTACGCAGGCGTACACAATCCTGAGAAGAGCTCTGATCAGGCTAAATAAGCAAAAACGCCTGTGTTGGTAAACCTTGGACATATAGGGCCTTCATGGATTCCTCAAACAGATTTTAATATATAATTACACTAAGTAAAGTATATCATACCCGTACTGTTGAATGTGGACAGCATTGGATGACATATCCATAAACCAAGTGTCTGAAGCTAGACTGAGCGTTTATTGTTTTCTCAGGTGCTGAACCTGTGTATGTATCAAAGGCCCTCCAGAAAGCCAAAGTTGTGGTGAATGAAGATGGAACAAAAGCAGCAGCTGCCACTAGTGAGTATTTCTACAGTGAGCCTCTTGGACTTAAATGATGAGCCAACACACAGCTGTATGCTTAGTGGATGAGAATGTTCTATACAACGGCCAATAATGTACTTAAAAGTATTAGTACACTCATAACAGTAACCTATGCTCTTTTAGTTTCTGAAGTGAGTTTGTTGTCTGTTTGTGTAGCTGCCATTTTGCTAGCTCGGTCCTCTCCGCCTTGGGTTACAGTGGACAGACCTTTCCTCTTCCTCATCAGACATAACCCAACAGGTACAGTCTTCTACGTCCATCTATGTACAGTACATTTTATGTATGGAAAATCTAACATTTGTGCAACCACATGAGAAATGAACTAGACGTGTCACCATTTTAAATGTGGCAATTAATCTAAAATGTTAGGCTTGGTGAAACCAGGTAGCCTGAAGAAAGCAGTGCTTGATTGTGATGAGTCCTCCCGGTCTCTGTCCCCAGGTACCGTTCTCTTTATGGGCCAGATCAACCAGCCTTGAGCCCAGCCATCACTGGCCAGCCCCTGGTAGCATCGTAGGCCAGCACGGGAAATGCTTCTACACTGCCACGCATGAACACACACATGTACACACCCCCACATACACACACACACACACACCAACTTTGCTGTAGACTTATGTACATTGTGGACATATGTTAAATGTTTTTAAATATTGCATTTTATGTTACCAATTTTCTGTAATGCATAACATGCTTTTTGAAATGTTCTGCAGACTAAATTTTCCAGCTGTTTTAAATTTTTTGTGTACTTCTTTGTTTTGAATTTATTCCATTTTTAAGACTTTGAATGTCAATTGTGTATTTTCTCATGTCTGGTTTATCGTGTCAGCGTTTCAGTTCTCCATCTTAAGTCATGTCACTCCAGTCAGTTCGAAATTTCACTCCTACGTTATGGCAATGTACATCACATCTTCAACAGCTCGCATTCAGCAACTTTACAATAATTGTTTCCCTCATTGAAGAAGACTTATGTTATCATACTTGCTTCATGTTTGTTCCAATCAATACATATATTTATAACAAGAAATGATTTTGCCTTCCTTTTTTCAGTAACGGTATTTCTGACACAGAAATGTTTGTGTACATGTGACATTCTGTTGTACTGTGTTTTCATGTTAAATTCTAACATGTACAGCTACAAAAAGGAGCGACAGTGCTTCTTAACGATCCATTCAAGCTATTCAGCAACTACTGAAACACATCCATGTATTTTCTAAACATCTTGAGGTTGCTGGCTGGAGTTTATGTATATAGACAGCCTAGTCGCACTGACCGTGACGTATTCTGTCTTCAAATGTAGCCTTCAAAAGATGCAGTCCCTGAATTGAGACACAGCTTTTTATATATTTATAGTTCTGTAATTGAATGTTATAAATTTAGTTTTAAAATATCCAAGTTTTAGAAAGCACACTTAGATTTGAAAACACGAGGAGCCTCCCATGCCTTGGGGCAGCATTTTGTTTACTTTTCCACTCAGCCAGTAACTTGCACAGACATTTTCATGGGCAGTGGCTAAAACACAAAAACTGATCAGAAGGTAGTGTACCCTAGCCTTTTTATATCCTACAGCATGTGTAGGATGTAAAATAATAATAAATAATATGTATTAATTAAACATACAAGGTAGATTTATTTGTCACATTACAACAGGTTGAAGAGTGAAATTAAGTTTGTAACTCCCTTCTGCTTTGCAGCAGACCATACATTAATAGAGAAGCAATTATAAAAATGGTAAACAGAAATAAACGATATTCAGTGGAGCAGTGCTGAGGATGAATTAGAGTTTAAGAGTCTGACATCTTGGGGGGGGGGGGGAGCTGCTCTGCAGTCTGGTGGTGCGGCAGTAGAAATTCCTACATCTCTTCCCAGATGGCAGCAGGGTGAACAGGCTGTGGCTGGGTGGGTACTGTCCTTTAGTATCCTTTGGGCTCTGCGTAAGCACCTCACCGATATCACTGATGCTCGGGAGATGGGTACCAACGATCTTCTGAACAGTTTTAATCACCCGCTGCAGAGCCCTCCGGTTCTGGGCTGTGCACATCCCATACCAGTTAGTGATGTTTCCAGTCAGGAGGCTTTCTATTGCTCCTCTGTAAAAACTGACGGGAATTTGGCCTCCTTAAGCTTCCTCAAGATTTATTCTTTTATTTACTTTATTCTATGCACGCACACACACTATACATCCTTGTGGTTAATATGTCCTCTGCTGAAAACTGAATTCTTGCGCATGTCCTATTTCAGTTGTCTCCTGTCTAAATTTGTTGGGGGCACGCTTGCAGTTATTACGGTAATCCTGACAGCGGCTCCGGGTGTCAGCTGATCCTTCTTTACTGTCGAGTGAGGAGAAAAGTCAGCTGAAGGAAAACACTGCTGGCTACTTAAAACCATGGCTGCGGAGATTCATTCGAGGCCCCAGACCGCTAGACCTATTCTTTTGAACAAGATCGAGGGACACTCAGACGCGGTGAATTCTGCCGTTTTAATACCAAAAGAAGATGGAGTGATCACGGTCAGCGAGGACAGGTGAGTTTGCTATGCAGGCTAATAGTAGCGTACTAGCAGTAGCTAGCGGGCTCGGTCTACTTGCTGGTCATTGCACACATAATTCCTGGTGCACTGGGTAAGAAGAACACAAAAGAAAAGAAGACACATTTTGTCCATCTGAGATATATTTATATATATTTTTGGATGGGATATTCCGGGACCAGGGTTCGCGTAGGAGGCTGTGGGGAGAGAAATCCAGGAAGAGTCCCTTCCATAACATCCGCGGACAAACAATGCACCGTAAACGGGAATACAACATTTAGATTTCAATTGATAACGTTGTGTTTTACGACTCATTGTTCGCTATACGGAACAATATTATAATGTGTTAGGCTAGATTGCCTAAACCAGCTGGCTAGCTACCCAGCTGGTGCTCAAAACACTGCTTTCTCAAACTAGCGACTGCTGCCTTCAAGTGCTCCACGTATGCTGTAGCGTTCATTTTAATCGCTGCGAGTGCAATTAATGACACACTTTTCCTGGACTTTGGAATAAAAGTATTGTTTGATATGATGGAACAAAATAACCAACTCTACCTCTTTTGATTTTTTTGTTTATCTTATCTTTATGTTGATATATAATGTGTGGCATCCAAGCTGCGCATGGTTCAATACTTGTTGAAATTGCTGTGCCCCCTGAACATCACATTTTGACATAATAGAAAAACCTATATTTTGGGTATAACATAAAAACCTTTTGTTATGGCATTCGTGGTAGGTTTACAACATAAAATAAATTCCATGTTTTCAACAAAACACAAGCAGTACAGCTGTATTTTCCAGACCTCTTCACTTGCATTCACTTTTGGAGTAGCCAAATAATCTTAGTTGTGAAGGTGTAAGCATGGACTCATCAGGCCATCACATTCACTGGGTTATAGGTTAAGTGATATTAGACCTGTTATTCTCGATTACAAGTGTCAAGAAGCAACATCCTCATTTAAAGATAAAGGAACTTAGTTGCTGTGAAGAAATGTGATGCTGTCTAAATCACACATCTAACCCTCTTATTATTCAAAGGGAAGTTGTGGGCCGACATTGCAGCAAAACACAACATGACATTATGTATGATCTTTTCAAAGTTGTCCAGTTTGCCTTAAACACATTAATCAAATAAGTCTCAAAAGGGTTTCATTTTGTGGTCTTCTGGTAAAAGACAAAAGTACAGTTTCGTAATTGGCTCAGTATCGAAAAATCACTTCTGTAATGTGGTTTTAACAGCAACATTTGCGAAGCTTGTCTGCATGGCTGCTGTGTCATTTAGAAAACGCTTTTTAAAAAAGTGACCTGCCAGGAATAGTTTTTCACTAACTGAAAGTACGTAAACACACAAAATACACCATCCCACCCCTTTCAGTGCTGTTTGGGAATAGAATCGAGCATTATGTATATAGAGAATTAGGGCTGGTTTCCCAGACAAGGATTAAGCCCAGTCCCAGATGAGGGCTCTCTTCAATGGATATTTCCATTGAGTATTTCCATTGAAAAGTGCCAAGTTTTCCTGCATTTAAACTTCTGTGTGTGTGTGTTTGTGTGTGTGTGTGTGTGTGTGTGTGAAATAAAAAAAAAATAATAAAAAATATATATAATATAATATAATATAATATAATATAAATAAATAAATAAATAAATTAAAATTTTAAAAAATAACTGACCTTCATAACAAGAAATAGACTACAGAGTGATCCCTGTCAGAGTGCTTTCAATGTGATGTTTTGACATTTTCCTTCAGAACCATCCGAGTTTGGCTGAAAAGAGACAGCGGTCAGTACTGGCCAAGCATCTACCACACAGTCTCCTGTAAGTAAGACTGCATTGCTTCAGTGTTAAAAGGGATTATAAATGTGTGTGAGCACGAGTGTTTGTTTGTCTGTGTGGCCCTGCGATGGACTGGCGACCTGTCCAGGGTGTACCCCGCCTTTCGCCTGATGTCAGCTGGGATTGGCTCCAGCCAATGGATGGATGGATGGATGGATGGATGGATGGATGGATGCACATGCTTGTGTGTTTGAGGGGAAAAGGCTTTTTGTTATTTTGGACCACGACAGCAATATAATGCACACCTATCTATAACATGGCCTGTGTGTAGTGAATTCCCTGCTCATGGCGACCATTCTTTCTCCTTTTAGCTCCATGCTCTTGCATGTCGTACCACCATGACAGCAGACGCATCTTCATAGGCCAGGACAATGGAGCTGTTGTGGTGAGTGAAGCTAACTCAAACAAATGTCTTCACGTGCTCACCCCAGGCTCCCTCTGTTGACACTAACGACACGTTTCTTCAAACGACAAACAGTGTCCTTTGAAGAAAAACAGCATATCTGGTTCAAATAGGCCACAATTTCAATATTTGGATTCTTGCAATTTCCCGTGAGGGCAGGATAGTTATTTGATTAGAAATGTGTGTGTGTGTGTGTGTGTTTGCCTTCCAGGAATTTCTCATCTCTGAAGATTTCAACAAGATGAACCACGTCAAAACATATCCAGGTGAGAACGGGAGATGAGAACACATTTGCACACAAAACTGTTCAGTCCAATTTAGCAACAAGTTGAGATTAGCCAGAATTGCAGTAGTTAAAGGAACTCCCAAGGAACATCTAGGGCTGCAACTAATGATTATTTTTTATTGTTGATTTAATGTGTCGCTTATCGATTTGTTGTTTGGACTGTAAAGTGTCATAAAATGTCGATCATTGTTTCCCAAAGCTCAAGATGATATCCTCAAATGTCTTGTTTTGTCCACAAGCCAAAGACTTTCTGTTTTCTCTCATAGAGGAATCAAATAAACAGAGAATATTCACATTGAAGAAGCTGGAATCAGAGATGTCTGACTTTTTTTATTTTCTTTAAAAAATGAGTCAAACCAATTAAAAGATTTTCAAAATACTAGTCGATTAATTTAATATTAAATAACTACTCGATTAATCCTTGCTGCTAGCAATGAGCTAGCAACATCACAGTTTACCCAATGAAATTCACAACAGTTAGTGTAATCAATAGCTGGCACAGTTGACAAGTGTTTCTTACTCTCAGAGATGTGGCCCCTCCCTGCTCCAGGAGACTTTTAAGGGACATCTACGTTTAGCACGACTGACGCAGCTGAAAGCGTCAGGACAGTGTAAATTAGTGTGACACAACTTGTTTTAAAAAAAATAAAATTCCTTTTTACAGCAAATGCCAAACAATGTCTGGTTCCACCTTCTTTTGGCTCTGCGAAGTTATGAAGCATTTTTTTCACAATCGATAATGCAAATAATTGTTAGTTGCAGCCCTAGTGATTACATCTGGATTTCATCTCTTGTCATAATTGGGAGGTTAGCAGCGGAGCGCAGTTCCTGTGACTGTGTCAGCAGCACTTTTGCCTCCTCAGTGGAAAATTAAGCTTCAGGAGAAAATGGCTAGCCTGTGGCTTTACAGGGCAAAACGCCACATGTCACAACTGGAATGCTTCTCCTTGTAGCAAACTCCAGCAGCAGAGCCCGAT